CTTTTAAATATTTTCTCTTTGATGATACTCTCATTTTTTTCATGCAATGTTTTCTTGAGCTTATAAAGCACCTTTATGATAATTGTTTTGTATTCTTTGTTATGTAATCAATATGCCTCCGTATTTTAAAGAATTGGTTAATACAGATTTAGTCTATTCTTCCATTTGGCTCATGTTTCCTTGTTTCTTTGTGTATCTCATAATTTTTTTGTGGGAACCTCTACACTGGAAAAAAAGTCACCTCTCCCAGTCTTTATGAGTTAGCTTCCTACAGGGAGAGATCCTCACCAGTCTGCATAGCTAGAGATTCTGGGGGCCTCCAAAACTTTTTTAGGGAATGTAACTTCTCTGGGCCATGTGTGTAGGGAGAGTTTGCTGCTTTCTTTTTCAGAGGCCATAATCTCTTACTTCCTCTGATGTCTGCCTGCAGCCCTGTGCATTCTCTGGTTCTACAGGAGCAAATCATCCTGCTCTCTTTTGTGTTAAATAGCATCCAAAGTAGAGTGGCATTCTGTGAGCACCCAAGACAGGTGAGAAAAACAGGAGTCCCATAGTATCCCTCTAAAAAACTGGACCACTGAGTATACACACCATTCTTCTTTCTTGTTTCTGAGGAAGAAGCTCAGAGTTGAGTGCCTTCTCCAGATCATGCCAAACTGCACTGGCCTTGTTGTTACTGCAGACCCTCTGGTGCTACAGCAAGCTGTCCCTGCTGTTGTTTGTATTCGGTAGCCACCTGGGATCCAAACTGTGCTAGTTTTGTCAGAGCTCGGAGTCAGACAGGCAGCACTCTAAAAAGCTGAAACACTGGCCTCATCTTCCATTTTGCTCTTTCTATCTCACCCCCCCCCCACCGCCCCAGTCTGGCTCCCATCCCTAGAAGCTGTGAGCTGGGGCATCAATTGGGAAGATGAAAGCCAAGGCTACCTTACTATTCTGCCATATTACTCTTTTCACTGGTCTTTTACTGGTTTCCAATATGCACATCTGGTCTCCTTAAGGAGATTTCCTGAGGCTATAGGTCTACTGTTCTATGCACTGGAATGCCACAGGCCCAGAGAAGATGCTCAATAATTCATGAGCAAAGGAATAAATCTGCTTTAATATACTTTAAAGCTTTTATGCTTTGTGGAAAGTAATACGTTGATGTTAACCTCCATTTCTAGGGGAAGCCTGTCTAAATGAACTGGTTTTGAAGGGCTCCAAGGAAGTTTCCTAAGAACTTATCTTTAAAATCCTACTTTACATTTATATTGCAAGGAAAAAACATATAATTTTATTTAAGTTGATTTATATTTTATAACAATAATAAACCCAGAATTGTCAAAGTTCTATTCATATTCAAGTCATAATCAAATCCTATTTCTTCCTCAAATCTGACTCAGCCTCCAAGGCAGAATCTGTTCATTCATTCATTCATTCATTCATTCCGTGTTTAACAAGCACTTATTGTTTACTAGGCACTCTACTAGGTTGCCTGGGCTGCTCAGCTCTGATGACATTACAGAACTGCCCACAGCTTGTTTATGATATTTATGTGTGCACTTTCTCTACTTTTCAAATGTGGGCTTCTAGAGTAAAGAAACGCTGATACATTCACCTCTGTAACCATGGCATCTGAACAGCAAATTCAAATGAAATACTGGAGTACTAAAATAAACTCCAGGCAGCTAGACTGTAAGAAAAATGTCTTCTAAGCTTCTAGGTTTGCCAAGAAACAGAAAGGTTGAAGTACCTGATAGTCAATTCTGCCAGATCCAAATTTATTAGCTTCTTTTATGTTTTTCCTCTATTCCTTCTGAAAAATGTGTTGACAGCTATTTTTTATTTCTTATTTAAAGCAAACTAGTAAGTCAGTGGTCCATATTTCAGTAACATGTACATTAAAACCAGCTAGCAAGAAAAATGAAAATGTACTCAAGTGATTTCCAAAAACATAAAATGACTATCACCAGCCATGAAAAAGCCAGGACACATATCCTCCTGTGCCACTGACCGTCACAGCAACATTAGAATTGACAGCTACAGAATACAGAGCCAAAACAGAACAGAAAAAAACAGGAAGTACCACATATAAGGAGGGAGAAAATGTGTTTGGCAAACAAATGTCCCTAGATCCCAGTTCCAAAATGAAGAAAATGCACAGAGCAGAATAAACATAGAATGTGGTAAAATCCTTGATTGAAAGATTAAAAGCTTTTCTGAGTATTAAGAAATCTTGAGGTCAGAAGCAAGGGCATATATTATTTAAAGGAAACTAGGGGTTTCAAGGAAGAAGAAAATAATCAAGGTACATACATGCTCCTGGTACGTGGCAGGTAATTAATAAATGATAGCTATTATAAGAAGCTAAGAAGTAGTTCAGATGTCCCTCCTCTGTGACAACCAGGCAGAGCCACCAAAAATTCTCCTCTGTGTGCCCACAGCATCTGTGCAGGTTATCATTATACCATGGACTGCATGTGTTACGGACTGGAAGTTTGTGTTCCCCCAAATCCAAATGTTGACATTTAATCCCCAATGTGATACTACATGGAGACAGGGCTTTGAGGTAACTAGGTCATGAGGTGGTGACTTCATGAGTGGGATTAGTGCCCTTCTAAGAAGAAACCAAGAGTGAGCTCATTCTGCTGTGCCATGTGAAAATGCAGGAGGAAGGCAGAGGTCTGCAGTCCATAAGAGAGATCACAGGAGCCTGACTACACAGGCACCTTAAGCTTGGGCTTCCAGGTTTTAAGACTGTGAGAAATAAATTCCTATTGAATATAAATTAGCCAGGCTATAGTATTTAGTTATAGCAGCCCAAGTTGAGACAACCTCATCTGTGTCTGTTCCTACTCCTGTGTGGTGATTTCCTGGAAGTATGGGATTATATTCTGTGCTTCTCTGAAACTGGAGATAGTAGGCACATAATCATTATTAAGTAAGAGAATAAATGAATGGTCTCATGATTTTTCTCAGGAGAATAGTGTTTTCTGAAACTAAAAAGAGAAAATACTTTTTCTATAAGCCATCACACTCATTCCTTCCCATTTTAAATGTTATTTATTGTAAAGTTGTCTGCTCTATTCAAAGTAATGTCTCTCCTCCCATTACCAATAGAGAGTAAGTTTCGGAGTAAATCCTTCTGATGATGCAGTGCAGAACAGTGGGAGGCACGGGGTTTAGTTTGTTTTTCATTCTTGATTTGAAATTATTTAAAAACAATAAATATGTTATAAAAATAGCAGAAAGTTCCCTTCATCCAGCATCCCCATGGTTAACATCTTACAAAACCACAGTATAATTACTGAAAGAAGACAATTAACATTAGGCTGATAAAATTAACTATTTTATGGACCTCACTTGAATTTCCCAGTTTTCCTTCTAATGTCATTTTTCTGGTCCAGGATCCTACATTACATTTATGTGTCCTTATTCTCCTCCATACAGTGACAATTCTTCACTTTTTTCCTGGTCTTTTATCATTCCAAATTTTTAAAAAATATCAAAATATCAGTTATTAGATAGACTGTCCCTCAGTTTGACTACTGGCTCTGTGACTCACATCTGTGTTGCCTTGGTAAAGTCAAGCTCTCAGGAACCCTGACTTTCCTTACCTGTGAAGTAGGATAACAATGAGTTTGCAAGGCTGTTTTGAAAGCTAAATGAGGCAATGTAAATCAAAATACCTGAGACATAAACCAAACAGCAAATGTTAACTCTTTACTCCTTGTGCTATCTTTCAATGATTTCTAAAGCATTTTTTGCTAACATGTCTTACCCGTATTCTAATGACTTCTTTTGTGAATAAAAACACATATAACCTATCCCATAACTTGCCATCGTCTCTGCTGTGTGACAGCTCTGAGCCACATCTCTTTCCCCTGTACTCCTGTACCTCTTCACTGTCATTGCCTGTCTTTAAGGGCTTCATGATCATTGTTTTGATTTTTCAGCTTGTGATGTGTAGGATTAATTTATTCATTCATACTATATTCATTCAAAGATGCACTGAACCCACTGAGTGCCAGGTCCTGTGTTAGGAGCTCAGAGGCAATGGTAAGTTACCTGCTGTCCTCATCAACCTGTGGCTTGTGGGGAATGGACACATAAATAATTACAATTCAATGTAATCACTTCTGCAAGAGATGGAATGGCTAGAGTCACACAAGAAGTATTCTGAACCTGGACTTGGGGAATGTCAGGCTGGGGAAGATTTCATGAAGAAAGTGTCACTGTGCCTCAGTTAAGGTCTCCAAAATACATAGGAAGTGATAGGAGTAAGTAAGGGAGCAAAAGGTGTAGAGTTCAAGGAAGAACTATCACAAGTGTGTGCTGAGTAAAAGTAAATCAGTTCTGAAAAATAAATCTCCTATGTTGTAAACTTGTAGCTTGAGAGTGGTGTTGTGCCAATACCTCAGGGGTTAAGAAACTTCCCCAGGAAACTTCTGGCCTCAGTGCTCTGTTCTGGAGACTGCAGTTGACAGACTTAAACCTTTGGATATTACACTGAGCTTACCTCTTTCAACATCTGTGAACTGAAGTAAAATTTCAGGAGACAAATGCCTACTTGTTTCCATTTCGAAAGAATAATAGGTTTGTCCTTTTCTGATGGAGGGGTTTCTTAATTAAAAAAAAAATCTAAATAGCCATAAAAAATCCTTTTTAAACTGACTCTTTTAACTAAGCTTATGCAAGGTTGTGGAGCCTTCCCAGCTTTCTTCTTTCTATGGTACTCATTCCTGTGGCTTCAGGGGTCTGGTACTAGGTCCACCTGTTCCCAGTACCAAGTCTACCCATGTCAACTTGTGTTCTCAGCAAGTGTTACATGTCTGTTATCCACTGAACACTGGAGCCTAGGGAAATCTAATACAAAATCTTCAAATACTTTAGAGGTTCCTCTGCTAGTCCTTATTTTACCCTTCTAAGCTTTTCTTCTTTTAATGTTTTCATTTTCTCCATAGGGGATATTTCTCAAACCCTAACTGCTTCTAAGTTGAAGCAGTCATGTTACATACCGTCAACTGGTATGTCAGAAGGTCCATTAAGAAGGTAATCTTGTTACTAAACAGAACATCAGTGCAGTTTTCTGAACAGTTGTTGCAGGTGAGGTAGTAAACGCTGATTGCACTGCAGAGGGACCTAATAGGAGGAGAAAAAAACACCATTGTAAAACTACAGCAGTTCCTCTCCAAAAAATTTAAAATACATGAAATAAATGGTACAAAAGAAACAGGCCTGGGATAGAAGTTACTCTAAAAAACTAAACCAAATACTAGGAGGGCCAAGGCTGGTCACCTAGATATAAATGCTTATTTTTTCATCCAAAACTCAGTATTCATTAGTACTTAAGACCTCTTATTAATTTCTATTGGCTGCAGCTTCAGACAATGAAACATATTTATCATTCTATCTGATAATTTCTTAATAATCAAAGAGTAGATATCAAACCAGGAACTTTGGTCCTTTCAATACCAGCAAAATACTATCCATGTTCGTGTTGCCAGGTCCACTGATGCCAGGTAAGAGTTTAAGGAAGAAGAGAGCCCCAATGAGAACAACTGGAGGATGTTTCTACAAGGCAAGACCCCCAGATGCCATCACTCTGGACGCCATCACTCTGCCTGTGGTGGTATGGACATGAGCTCAGAGTGCCTGGGTAGAGGAAGACAACTTTTGAAAAGGCACAAACTGGTCATGGGCCCAAACAGTTTTAAGTTAAACTGAATGAAGAAATGTTTTTCTCTAGGTGATTAAAAATATAGGCCACTGGGCTGGGGATTTAACTCAGTGGTTCTGACACCTGCCTCACAAATGCAAGGTTCCAAGTTTGATCCCCGGTACATACATACATATATATATATATATGCCACTACAAAGAAATTTTGAAAGCAATGAGGTGAACAGGCACAGGTGTTCTGAGACTGCTCATGAAGCCTGCATTGCCTTCAGTGTTTACTCTGTTCTATCTACAACTTTTAAGTTCTATGAAAAATGTTTGGATCTAGTTCCTTACAGCCAATCTTCTAGGATAGAAGTTCTCACAGTGTGGCCTACAGGCCAGCAGCATCAATATTACCTGGGAACTTGTAAGAACTGCAGATTGTCAGAGCTCTACCCTGGCCTAGTGAGTAGAAATCTTGGGATTGGACTCAAGCAATTTGTATCTTACTAAGTTCCTCAGCTAATTCTGAGAATGAATAGATACCTAAAATTATATGCTTAGCCAAGTTCCTGGTGACACTAGGTGGGAATGGGGCAAGTTTCTGATGTGTGACTTTCAAAATCTCTCTGGGTGATTCCAATGTGCAAGCAGAGCTGAGAACCCCAGGTCTGAGAACCAACATGTAACTACTCATTCATTCAACAGCTATCTGTGGTCCAGGTATGTGCCAGGCACTGTGCTTTGTGGATACAGCAGACAAGTCCCCTGTCTTCATGGGGACACTGCTCCAGCAACAGGGTGATAAAGGCAGTATCTGTTATACTTGTAACCATGTTTCCTATAGTTGTACCTTGCTTCACATAATTGACAGGTTTCTGAAAACTGGTTACAGTAGAGCATACTGATTAAGAGTAGAGACACAGAACACAGAGGAGGTGAGCCACTCCGAGTGCACAAGAGGAGGCTTCTGGGCCATCGTACCACCCCCGCCAGCACAGAGGAGGTGAGCTGCATGGGCGTCAGCAGCACCCCCCCCCCCATGCTCCCTGTCGAAATGAGAAGACAGGTAAACAAGTCTCAAAACCAGACTTGCAGATCATCTACAGCAACCCCAAAGGGAAATGAGATGGAACAATCTGATACTCAACCACCTGGACTCCCTGAACTG